GCTAGTACGAAATAGAATTTTTTTAGCAAAAAGGAAAGTTATAAAATTTTGTTACAAATTTTCAAAGTGTCTATTGTTAAACATTCTATTCTATTTGATTGTTTGGTTGCTTGCTTGCTTTAAGAGTTTTAATTTTTGATCTTTCCTCCACATTAATTGTATTGTTTTATTTATTTTTCTTTTTCTTTCTTGATTTCCGCATAATACTTCTTTCATAGTGCATTTCCGAGTATATTAGTGAAAACATCATACACTTAAAATGTACAAAATTACAATATATAGAGAAAAAAAGAAGAAGAAAAAGTAAGTAATTTGCCAAAGCTAAAACGACTTTAAGAAAAAAATAAAAAATAAAAAATAAAAACAAAAATGAAATTATTTGAAAAAAGAAAATGATTTATTCATTTATAATTAATTTTTAAAAATAAACTTTTAAAGAAAATAAAGAAAACTATATAATAAAAAAAAGTATAGAAACTAAATATAAAATATAATACAAAAAATAAATGAATTATAAGATTTTCAATAAGTGAGACTTACATACAAATTTTGTAAAATCTTGTTTATTCATATACTTTTTGTGTATGTTTTTTGTACCTCTAATCATGATAATGACATTGAAATAATTTACACTTTTTGCATTAGGTCCATCTAATAGTTTTAGCAAGCACAGATGCAATAAATTTCATAACACAAAACATAAACAATTGTGAGATAAAGTATCTAAAAAAATGAAAGTAACGTTCAATGATGATATAGAAACACACTTAACGTTTTAATTAGAGGTATAACCAGATAAATCGCCATAGAAGAAGAAGACAACCTTTATTTTTCATCACAATAATTACATAACTCAATATATAATTTTAATGTCTCGCACTCTTCCACATGTCCAATTCTTTATCAATATTAGAATGAATGCATGAACCAAAAAAATGAAACATTTGAGAAGACAAAGAGATGTGATTTGAGACCTTTCAATTACTAAATTCTATTAATTAATAGTTATTTGGCTTCAATGATCGGGTTTCCAATATTTGTTAATCATTAAAGTTGAATTCTTTAATTTCATCTATATTCACTTGATAATTTGAACGCGGACACATGTCAAGCCTTTACACAAATACTTGACACATTTTTTTTAGCATTATTAATGAAACGCACAGTGTAATTTTTTTTTCTCTTTTTTTTCACAATTGTAACCTGTTATTTTTTAATAAAAAATTATATTTGTTTTAGATATTTTTTTAATATACAAATTATTTTTTACAGTACAATTTTTTTTTCTTTTTTTCGCAATTGCAACCTATTATTTTTTAATAAGAATTTATATTTATTTTATATATGTTTTTAATATAGAAATTATTTTTTTAGATTTTAATAAAATGCACAGTGTAATTTTTTTTTTAGATTTTAATCAAATTATTTTGTTTTAATGTTAATCTTTTGTGTATTTCAATGGAAAGAAATACATTTTAATTCTTCGTTCGGCATTAGCTTTTTTAACTTATTTTTTTGTGTTGAGACTTTTTTAACTTGACCTTTTTAACCTCGTTTGGTTTGGTTTTCTTACTTTTGTAAAAGAAAAAGTGTATTGATTATGGTTTAAATGTGACATTTTGTCTTATTGACTTATATAACTAATTTTGTTTTTGTTTTTTTTTTTAGCCAAAAATCTAAAACCAAACGAAGCTTAAGATCAATGCTACAATGTGGAATTTTGATGACAATATTAATAATTACTAACTACAGGTGCATACACGATACGTGTGCAAATGTATGTAGCTAAAAAATGAAGAAGATGAATAGTTGAAATTTTGATAATTTAAATTAATCTTTGTAGGGGGTTCAAGATTAGAGGGGTGATTAGAGAGACAAAACTATGCTAATGGTCCATTGATGATGAAAGTGGCTTGAGAATGAACAGCAGCAACTATTTGGGAATTGGAGAGTGTGTAGCTGGGTGAGAGTGAAACAAGTAGCTTAAGAAGAAGTGTATGGCAGTACCAAATTGGGTGGCATCTCCCCTAAATTCCCAAAATTCCTCTCATTGAACCTTGGGAAATGGGCCCTATTTATAGGATTTTCCTTCGTGCCAAGAAGACACCAAGTGGCCAAATAGAGAAAAGACATGTGTCCCAGAGGATCACATGGAATATTTTGCCTTGAGCCACCAGGCTGAAGGTGCCACGTGTCCATCTGCATGTATTGTGTACTATCTGTTTACCTCCGCAACTACCTTTTTTGAGTCTCGTCAAGTGTAGTTGCGACAGGAGTGCTTGCCTCTGCACTTGCCTTCTCAGCTTGAACCTTAACAAGTACACTTGCAGCGATGAACCTCGCCGTTACACTTGCCTTCTTAATTCTACTTTGGCTAGTACATGCATTCTCAGGACTCCATTAGTTTGGTATCGACTATGTTCGTGCTCAGCTTAGCGAAACCTCCACCCTTAGCCACCTAACCACAAATTCCCCCAGCTTCCTAGGGCGAAGGCCACAGCCAAGCCTGCTATCAGCCATACTGTGCCTTAATACCAAGCCCGATGGGGCTTCCTTAGTCCTGCCTGTGCAACTAAGGCAGGTCCATGACCTGGGTAATAGAAAGAGAGTCCCTTATGTTCGAGCTACCCTGCTCCCATCTTCGTGGGGTTACCGCGGTAAACTGGTATTTCTGGGCTTGCTATCAGCTCCAACCAGTAAGTCTTGGAGCCTACTATCAGCGCCAAGTTAATAAACTATAGGGCCTGCTATCAGCCCTAAGCTAGTAATGCCTTGGGACCTACTATCGGCGCCAAGCATTAGCCTTTACTTGCAGAGGGAAACCTCTCTTAAAGGCTGCTATCACCTTGGCAGGGTATTCCCTTTGCAACTTAGTTGCTGTTGTAGTAGCTGCTGCGGTAGTCGTTTCCTGTGGCAAGTTCAGACGGCATGACCGAAAATATAAGAGATGGCAGTGCCGACAGAATGCTTTCACAACTTGGGCGCTGCAAGTATTGCCTCAACAACTTAGTTGCCTCGGTCTTCTCTTTCCTTCGGCAACTCCAAATTATCGTGACACCGACATTACTTGGAATGACGGCGGCACCGAAGATACTTAGATTGGCAGCGCTGAGACAAAGTGCCTCAGCAACTCTACCGCTACACATGTTCCCTCGACAACTTCCAATGGCAGCAGAGCCGAAGTTAATAGGAATGACGGCGCTGAGACAAAGTGCCTCAGCAACTCTGCCGCTGCATATGTCCCCTCGGCAATTTCACCGCTGCAGGTGTTGCCTCTACAACTTGACTTGGGCATTTTTTCCTCGCTGAGTCCATCTGGAGCCTTGGTGGGTCGGACCTGCCTCGGCCCACTTGTTGGCCCACGCTCCTCTCTTATCCCTAGTCGCCTTCTCCGGGTGATCTTAGTGCTTGAGTCCATACTTAGTTTGGGGTTCAATTTCTGACCCTTTACAATCATTTTACATAACCAATTTTTTAATTGTGGCAATTTAAAATTTAAATTAAAAAAATGAATATTCAGTTTTTTTTTCTTCATTATTATTCAGATTTTCAGAACCGAACAAATTGACTTTGTTAGAAGTCCGAATGCAAAGTTTACCTTCTCATTCTCCTTTGTCATTCTCTTTCGCTGGTGCTGAGTTCCCTAGACATGCTCCTTGTATATACATGAACAAAAGAAAGATTTCTCAAAGAGTTTTTCAAAAGTAATTTGAATTTTTTAATTTGTTTTATTTGGGTATACCTCAAAAATTTAATTTTTTTAGGAAGGGAAGGAGTGTATTGAGAATAAATTGTAATCCTAAATAATTTAATAAGGTGTACTAAAAAATTAGACTCATTTAAACATTTTTGAATAAAAATAGAATTTCCCATATTTTATATGGTTGGTTATGTGATCAATTAATATTGACTTATTGATTTATTTATTTATTCATTAAAATTTGGAATACAATTCTCAAAATTGGAGATGAGACTCACACAAATAAAAGGAGTTGCATCATTAGAGCAACTCCAATAATAAAAAAATAAAATGAAATTTGATATATTTATTTTTAAATTTGCTGCAGTGAATGTTTTTTTTTAATTTTTTTTATTATATCATGTTCACACCTCTCACACCCCTCAAAGGATGGGGTGTGTACCATAACAGCATTACCCTATTTTAACACAATCAATTTCCAAATCAGTTTTTGGTCATTGTATCTACTCCTTAAAATCCTCTTGTCCTCATTATTTTAGTTTTGTTGGTGGCAAAAATGATTTTGTCAAACTTTAAGTCAAATTAGATATAAAATTTAATTTGTTATTTTTTGTCAAGATATTTGATTCGCCATTAAAGATGAATTTTTGAGATGCTTAACTACAAAATAGTTTTGATAAGTCTTATGACGCTGTATTGTCATTAAAATTGCTCTTACACTAACGTCAAATTTGGGTACTTCTAAAAAAGTCAAAAAGCTAAAAAGTTACTTAAAAAGTTAAAAAGTTAACACTATTCACCAAAAGTCAACAATTACGGCTGCACAACTCCCAATTCAAATTTTTCCCTAAAAATTGATTTTTAGGGAAAAATTTGAATTGGGAGTTGTGCAGCCGTAATTGTTGACTTTTGGTAAATAGTGTTAACTTTTTAACTTTTTGAGTAACTTTTTAGCTTTTTGACTTTTTTGAAACATCCCAAACTTGGCCTTAATTATTCGACATCCACTGTCAAAAAATATATATATATATATATATTCTCAATTAAAAAAACGGAGTAAATTTATCTAAAAGATTACAAATTAAATAAATAGGGTGCTGTTGTGGTGTGCAACCCCTTAAGGTTGCACATCATATGTAACCAACACAAAAGGTGTAAGTGGAAGATGCAAACATAAAACAGAACAACAAATAGAAAGACGTAAGTGTAAAGTGTAAGTTGCACACTTAAGAAAAGTCCAAATAAATAAATTGAATAAACTTTACGTGCGTCGTATGTGTATATATATGTACAAGGAGGAGGCCATAAATTAGTGATAACAGAGAGCAGTGAGTCAAGACTGAAGTGTAAGACAGTAATCTGCACAGTTTCTATTTCAGCACAGAAAGCAAAGCATCTCTCTTTCCATTACTTCTGTAAACTTCTTCATCTTCTTCTTCTTCAATGGCTTCCAATTTCGCTCTGTAGAAACACATCAGAGTTAACAGTTATGGAGTTTGAACTTGAGAATCCATTGACGAGCTTCAGAGAACACCAACCTGACACTGTTCCAGCTCTCTTCGCCGACGAATTAGATCACATGCCCTCACATTACTTCTCACAAAGCTCCAAATCACGAGACTTCTACATCTCTGTTCGTCGCGAAGCAATTTCTTTCGTCTTACAGGTAACAATCAACATTTTCTTTTCTTTTCTCGCATTTTCTTACGGTTAAATTCGTCATTTGTAAAATTGTTTCAAATCGTCAGGCACAGTTCTGTAACAACTTCGATCCCTTTGTACTCTACCTCACCATCAGTTACATCGATCGATTCATCTCCAAGCAAGAAATTCCGGTAATTATCAAATTCTCTCTTTCTCGATCGATCGATCGATCGATCGATGTATATGCATTGAAGATCTAATTGATCCTGATGTTGCAGAAACAAGGAAAGCCATGGATCGTGAGGCTTGTAGCAATCTCTTGCCTATCACTCGCTGCGAAGATGAAGAATACCGATTTGTCACTGTCTGATTTACAGGTTAGATTAATGTTCTACGATTGCATGTGTTAGACTCGAGCGATGCTTAGAAAAACGTGTAATTAATATTCGTTGAAACATGAAACAGAGAGACGAAGGTTTCATCTTCGAATCGCAAGCAATTTGCCGAATGGAGCTCCTCATTCTCACCACTCTGAACTGGCGAATGCGGTCGATTACGCCGTTCTCGTTTCTGTACTTTTTCCTTTCTCTGTTCGAGCTCGAAGATCCAGCATCGACTCAATCACTCAAAGACCGAGCTTCGGAGATCATCTTCAAATCGCATTATGGTAATCAATTGTATTCTCAGTTCTCGCTATATACACAAAATAGCTTGAAATCTGATTGTAATTGCTTTTTTAACTACAGAAATCAAGTTTTTAGAGTATAAACCATCGATAATCGCTGCATCAGCGCTTCTCTGTGCTTCTCAAGAGCTGCTTCCTCTGCAATTTCCCTGTTTCAGAGCTGCGATTGCTTCTTGTCAATATATAAATAAAGTAAGAAGCATATATACATATACATATACATGTCTATATACATAGTTTTAAGGGAAATTATAAATACATTTAAATTAAAAGTTATCACTTATGATTTTAAAAATTACCGTAAGATTTTTAATTTCATAATAAATAGGTTATTTTATTAATAAATTATCAAGTTAATTAATAATTTTGAAGAATATTAAAATTTTATTTCAATTAATAATTCAGATAATTTTATTATTGTATAGGTGAATAGTTAAAATTTTTACTTTTTCAATTAATTCTGTTAAATAAAAAATTTTGACAGTGAGGTATTTGTAATTTTTCAAACTACAGGAAACAATTTATATTTTAAACAAATCTCAGATGGTGTATTTATAATTTATCCTAGTTTTAGGCCTCGTTTGATAATATCACTTTATAACTTAAAAGTCAAAAACTTATTAAAAAAATCAAAAATTGAACAATATATATCAAAAAGTCAAAATTTTCATTTTTTTTTCATTTTCTCTTTATTTTTTACACATCTTTTCATAAAAAGTCAAAAAATCATTCCAAACATATTAATTTTTTTACATTATATTTTAATTAAAAAAATTTAAAAATTATTAAAAAAATCTTTTTCCAAATGACACCTTAATAAAAAAAAAATTAACCACATTAGATACTAAAAGGAATCGAGACTTAAAGGTCACCTAAGCGGTGTTAATCATGTAGTGTAAATCATGAATTTGTATATAGATGAGAATTTGAACTTATACAATCCGTTGGATTATGTATCCTATCTTAACTAATAGTCAAGTTTAAAATAATTAATCCGTACTTCAATTGTTTAACCAAACATCGGATTAATAATTTTATTGGACTATTAGTCCAATCCCAAGTTCATGTCCATCCAAACAAACATGACCGTAGTGTAAATCATGAATTTGTATATAGATGAGAATTTGAACTTATACTTTTACACAATTCGTCCAAATTTAAAAAATCCATCTTACCAAATCATATTCTCGCCCGAGTGACTGGTCAAAAAGAGTAAAATCTAAAACTTCAAAACTTATACCTCAAACCCATCGGTTTGATTGTAATCGAACTATTGATTTTTTTGTAGGAGAAGCTGTTGAATTGCTTGATTGTAATGGAGGAGATGGTGGTGATGGAGCGGTACGAATCAATGTTTGACGCTGTGTCGTGTAGTACGAAGACGCCAATCAGCGTTCTGGACCGTCACTGTACAACCATTGAAAGCGTGACCACTACAAGCAACAACAACACTGTCATTGCAGTTGCAGAGAGAGACAACATCAAACGCCGGAAAATCAATAATGGCTTCTGCAGCAGCGATCACACGGTCCAGATTTCTCAGATTCAAAAGTGCTGAGAGATGATGGTCTGCGATTAGGTACAGATATAAAGAGATGGTTCATCAACAAATACAGAGGCTTTGATTGTAAAACCGAAAGCAAAATCAACGGCTCGCAGCTTCAAAGTCCAAAACATTTCTCGTATTCCCTATCTCTCTAGATCCCTACACCTGAAAACACAATAAACGACAAAAAGAAAAAGAGAAAAAAAGAAAAATATTTTGTGCTTTTGTTTTGTTAGAAGAGGTATTAAAAATGTAGCGGAATAATAAATTTCTTGGAAGTACTAAGAAGTTGTAAGGGAAAAAAATTATTGTTTTCCGTACTTCAATGTGTGGTCAAATGACTCAAGGCAGGGAACAGGAGAGAAAAAATGTTTGAGAAATTTTCCCGAGAAAATGAATGTGGATGCAAAAGTGGCGGGAAAATAAATGAAGGAGTGTGTGTGGGTGGGGAGGGGGGGAAAAGAAAGAGGAAGCGTCGAAGACACGTTGCTTTCTTTAAAGATTGCGGCATCTTTGTCGAAGGATGAGTCCGGATCCTGTATTTGCACTCTTTTTTTTATTCCTCTATTTGTAATAGAAGAGATATATTTTAATTTAACGGTTCAGATTTAATTATTTTAAATATATTTTTTAAAAATAATTAAATCTGAATTGTTAAATTATTTTAAAATATATTTCTAATATTACAAGTAAAAAAAGAAAGAGAAAATGTAAGTAGGAGATCTTAACTCTCAAATAGTACCGTATTAAACTACTTGAAAGCAACCGCTGGTGTACATTTTTAATTTGCAAAATAATTCGTTACACAATTTCATCCCCTTAAGGGTTTGTTTGGCTTCAAATTTTTGGTTAAAAAAGTATTGAGGACAAAATAAGTTAAATAAATCAATAGGATAAAATATCACATTTAAATTATAATTATTAAATTTTTTTATAAAAGTCAAAAAAATTAAAAAAATCAATCTAAACAAACTTTTAGTCTCAAGTTAAAAAAATTAAAAAATTAACTAAAAAAAAGCTTATTGCCAAATGACGAATATATCTCTAAAGGATTGGCAAACAAAATTTAAAAAAATGATTTACATTTTAATATTTTTTAAAAATTTTAAAAAAGGAAATTATGTGAATGCAGTGAAGTGACAAGACATTTTGAGTGCTTTATTGACTATTTTAATCCCAATCCCTCCTTATCAACGGGGCCTAAATGACTTTTTTTCATTAATCAACTAATAGGTTAATGAATAGTTTAATGATTTTACCAACATATTTCAATTAACAAATATGATAATTTCATTGTTGTATAAAAAATTAGTTAGAAATTTTATTTTTTTTTCAATTTTGTTAAATGACAAATTTTGACAGAGGGATATTTATAATTTTTAGAATTATATAGAACAATATATATTTTAAACAAATCTAAAATGTGTATTTATAATTTAATTTTGATTTTTTTGGATAAATTATAAATACACTGCCTGAGATTTGTTTTAAATAGAGCATGTGATTATGAAAATTACATCCCGCCTCTTGACGTTTCGAATTTCATAATAATTGGCGCATTTTACTAATAAATTATAAAGTCAATTAATAGTCTTTAATTATATCAAAAATTTATTTTAATTAATAATTCAAGTAATTTTATTATTATATAAGAGAGCAATTAGAATTTTTTTTTTTTTTAGCCAATTCTATTAAATAAAAAATTTTCTAACAAAGGATAGTTCTAATTTTTCAAACCACAAGTGACAATTTGTATTATAAGCAATCTTCAAGGAGTATATTTGTAATTTATCTTAATCTTTTTATATCTATTATATTTGCACATCCCTTTTTTCAGCACAAAAATGGTTAATTACATTTTACACCCTTGTGATTTATTATTCTTTACATAACCAACTTGTGGTTTGGAATGAAGTGTAGAGTCTAACTCCAGGAAGTTTCTATTTACACACTACCTATCTCTCAATTCACACCACTATTTAAAAAAGAAAAAAAAAATTTATTTACTATTATATTCTTCAATCAAATTATCTACACACCCCTCTATTCTTGAGCAAGGATCCTCTAGAGTATTTTTTTCCTAAAGTTTCCTAGAGTGGTGCATTATGTGGTTGAGATTTAATGACAAGTCACATCAATTTTTCAACATTAAATCTCAACCACACAATGCACCACTCTAGAAAACTTTAGGAAAAAAATACTCTAGAGGATCCTTGGTGTCTATTTCTTTCCTCCCTCACCACCACCGATTGCCACCCTTCACCTTCATCAACCCCATACACAAACCCTAACCTTAACCTAGCCATCACCCTTCACTACCACTGTCGCCACGATCCCCACCACTGCTGCTTGTCGTCCCTCTTAACTTCGGCGACTCTCCTTGCCCCTTTCCAAGCCATCTCATTCTCTCTACTTCCATAGCATCCCTGTCCCTCGCCCATCTCTCACCGCGCCATCGCTCCTTAGCCCATCGTTTCACTCACTCGTGAACTCTCTAAGTCTCCAACAATCGCGATATGTTCTGTTTCTCTCTCTTTCCTTCTCCATTGTTAACCCCCTATTATTCTTTTTCTTCTCATCAAACCTAACTATTACGAACAATCACCACCATTCGCCATCACAAAAAATTGCCAACACCACCCTACTAGTCATATCATCACAGCTCTCTCCCCCTCAAGCACTAATACGGCTCCTACAGCTCCCACCTTTGTTGCCCCGTAACCATCATAGCTGGTGTTTCTTCTCCCCAGCCACTTCACCCTCGCCCACTTCCGTCTCGCCGCCTACATTTCCTACCTACCACTAATCGTAACCTTATTCTTCTCTTCAAACCCTAGATCTAGAAAAACCTAGATCTCTCTCTCTCTCTTACGAAAACAACGTAGCTAGGGTAGAGTTGAAGGGTACTGTGGGAGTGAGGGGATGGGCTATGGAGGAGCGGACAAGGGTCACCAGAGTTGGCAATGGCAAGGAAAGGAGCCTTCGGAGATGGTAGAGATTGGGTTAGGACGGTGGGGAGGGTTAAGGTTAGGGTATTTTGGGTATACAAAATAATAAAAAATGAAAATTGTGTAAAGGTGAAGTGAAAGATGGTATGTACTGAGTTAAACTATGGTGTGCAAATAGAAACTTCCCTATCTTTATTAATATTTTTGGTAAAAAGTCAATCACTTTGCTTGGTTTTCGATTTTTCAAAATATTTTTTAAAAAATTTTACTTTCTTATTTTTCATATTTTTTTGTTTTCACTGAATTTTTTTAATATTTTAAGTAATTTTTTTACTTTTTAAACACACCTAACATAAATACACCTAAAAAGTAAAAAAATTGTAAAAAAAATCTTTTAAAAATTCACTAAATGCCAAAAATACAAAAAAATATATATATAAGAATTCAGTACATTTTTTGTATTTTTATGTATTTATTAATTTTTTAAAATATTTTTTCACAAATTTTTTACTTTTAAGATACATCTAAGTAAGGTGCATCTAAAAAAATTAAAAAAAAATGTTTAAAATTTTAAAAATATTCACTAAAAACAAAAAAACACAAAAACCAAAAAAGTTAATTTTCAAAAAACTTAATTCAAAAAACTCAAACCAAGCACATTGAATATTATCCCTATTTTCTTCTCTAATTTTCTTTTCCATACCACCAACACTATAACTTTCTCTCTCTAAAAATAAAACACTTCATAGTTGCTGCAGTCCCGTTTATTAATTGGTGAACAAATTTTATACTACCAGCACCCACTTATTACCTACTACACTACCAGCTCGTTTGTTTTGAAGGATAACTCATGGGATTGGACTATTAATCCGGAGGGATTAATAGTCCGTTGTTTGGTATGGATTTTTTGGTCCGGATTAATAATCCCTCCGGACTATTAATCCGGAATTCACTGGCTTATTGTATCCCTGGGGGGCCTGGGACAGAATCTATGGGATAATGTATCCCATGGGATTGGCTAGCTTTATTACATCTTTGACCCTCTCATCTTTCTCTTAGCTTGTCCAAATTCAAAATTTTACTCTGTATGAAAGTAAAACTTTACTCTGTATTAAAGTAAAATTTTACTCTGTATAAAAGTAAAATTTTACATTCTAAAACTAAAAGTAAAATTTTACTCTGTATGAAAGTAAAATTTTACATTCTGAAACTAAAAGTAAAATTTTACTCTGTATAAAAGTAAAATTTTACATTCTGAAACTAAAAGTAAAATTTTACTCTGTATAAAAGTAAAATTTTACATTCTGAAACTAAAAGTAAAATTTTACTCTGTATAAAAGTAAAATTTTACATTCTGAAACTAAAAGTAAAATTTTACTCTGTATAAAAGTAAAATTTTACATTCTGAAACTAAAAGTAAAATTTTACTCTGTATAAAAGTAAAATTTTACATTCTGAAACTAAAAGTAAAATTTTACTCTGTATAAAAGTAAAATTTTACATTCTGAAACTAAAAGTAAAATTTTACTCTGTATAAAAGTAAAATTTTACATTCTGAAACTAAAAGTAAAATTTTACTCTGTATAAAAGTAAAATTTTACATTCTGAAACTAAAAGTAAAATTTTACTCTGTATAAAAGTAAAATTTTACATTCTGAAACTAAAAGTAAAATTTTACTCTGTATAAAAGTAAAATTTTACATTCTGAAACTAAAAGTAAAATTTTACTCTGTATAAAAGTAAAATTTTACATTCTGAAACTAAAAGTAAAATTTTACTCTGTATAAAAGTAAAATTTTACATTCTGAAACTAAAAGTAAAATTTTACTCTGTATAAAAGTAAAATTTTACATTCTGAAACTAAAAGTAAAATTTTACTCTGTATAAAAGTAAAATTTTACATTCTGAAACTAAAAGTAAAATTTTACTCTGTATAAAAGTAAAATTTTACATTCTGAAACTAAAAGTAAAATTTTACTCTGTATAAAAGTAAAATTTTACATTCTGAAACTAAAAGTAAAATTTTACTCTGTATAAAAGTAAAATTTTACATTCTGAAACTAAAAGTAAAATTTTACTCTGTATAAAAGTAAAATTTTACATTCTGAAACTAAAAGTAAAATTTTACTCTGTATAAAAGTAAAATTTTACATTCTGAAACTAAAAGTAAAATTTTACTCTGTATAAAAGTAAAATTTTACATTCTGAAACTAAAAGTAAAATTTTACTCTGTATAAAAGTAAAATTTTACATTCTGAAACTAAAAGTAAAATTTTACTCTGTATAAAAGTAAAATTTTACATTCTGAAACTAAAAGTAAAATTTTACTCTGTATAAAAGTAAAATTTTACACTCAAGTTTGGTCTATTTTTTAGGTGGGCCCTGAGTGTCGATTTACTCGGGTCAAAGTGGTAACGCGTTCTATGCCGCGTTGTAATTCACGTGGTATATTTGGTTGCTCAAAACCATTATCGAGTGAATGGGAAATTGAAGCCAAAGTGTGCTCCATGGAAATGGAGTTTTGGTGGAAATTCCTTAAGGTTGTAAAATGGCTTGTCCCGCGTTGATTTGGTGGGAGGTTTTGAATGGGTTTATAAGGCTTGAGTTTGGTACTTGGGGTGTGCCCCAAGGGGCACCCAAGTGTTTTAAAGGGAGAGGTTATGGGCAAAATGGG